AATCCTTTCTGCCTCGCCGCTGCCAATATTCAGGCTGGTGGTGGTGTAATGGTGTGGGCGATATTTTCTTGGCACACCTTGGGCCCCTTACTACCAATTCCAACTGAGCATTATTTACATGAGTCAACTTGCATATTGTTGCCGACCATGTCTATCTCTTTTTGATCGCAGTGCACCCTTTTCAGATGGCTGCTTCCAGCAGGATAACATGCCACAACATAGCTCAGATCAACTTAACCCTGTTTCTTGAACACAACAGCGAGTACCTCTGCAATCAACAGATTTAAATCCAATAGAATACCTTTGAGAGCCAATAAATTTGCAGCAACTGTGTGCTTTAATGACAATATGGTCCTTAATCTATGAGGACTGTTTCCAGCATCTTGTTGAAATTGTGCCACAAAGAATTAAAGCAGGCAAAGTGCTGAATCCAGGCAAAGCATTCATCACAGCACTAGCAAGCTGTACCTAACAAATTGGCCAGCAAGTGTCGCTTGCTCCACAATTTTACTGTAGTTTTTCACCGTATTTCTTTTAAAACTGACAGTTTTGGTTCATCATCCAGCTGAAGTATAAAAATAATATGTTACTGCAACCTGGCAAATACTTAATAATTCTGCATTAATTAGAAATACCTGAAAATTTTCTTTAACGTTTGATATGAGACCAAGTCAAGATGAAGTTCCCTTGTAAATATGTGTTTGCATGGAAGCTGAGGCACATTAACATATTGGTAAATGTGAGGAGCTGCAAAACTGACATATAATAATACACTTTAAATATAGAAAGGTGAAAACTACAAAGAGTGAAGACTGATGGAAAAAACAGAACTGCAGCACTTTGCCACTGCAGATGTCCAGGTTATATATGGTGAAACAGCACTTGTTTCACTTCTCAGATCACATTGAAAATGTATACCTCTGTTAAGACAGAGTTGACAGCCATTTGGAAAGTCCCAAAACAGCTTAAGCGTGTTTTGATGTTGCTGCAACTAAAATTGAACATGAGAATTTTTATATTTGGTTACATCATGTTCCCGCTCTTGTTCCTAGTCATGATAATGTGAGTTTTAGGCATGAATTACAGTGTTTTGAATGTTAGTTATTTAGAAGAAAATCTGTTTTGGAAAGTTAACACCCAGCCAGTTCAACTCTCTGTACTTACAAAGCCAAGTTGTCGCTATAATTCAGCTAGTACACTGAAAAACAATTACATCAGACAGCATGCTGGGAAAATGTTAATCACAGACAGGCTGCTTCCAGTCACATGTCCAGATCCTGTACACCTAATGTGTTGTGATAAGACCAGTTGCTGAGCCCACATGTAGGGGGTATAGCTCAGTGGTAGAGCATTTGACTGCAGATCAAGAGGTCCCCGGTTCAAATCCAGGTGCCCACTTATTTAGATTTTGGTCATGACAAACTGATGTAGTTCTTGTAAGATAACATACAGGATTTTCATCACATTAGAAATACAGCTGGTCATAAAATTAAGTATTGTGCTCATTTACAGTTACATATTTTTATTATTGTACTCTATCAGAGAAGCTCAGCATGTTGCCCAGTTCAGAATGCTGCATATTTATCTTATATGATCTTTCATGTAGCCATGCAGCTCCTTTCCCATAAAGCCACTCTCCTTTTAGGCCATCATTTCTTCTGATTAGCTGCCCCTCACGTACAGCAAGTGGGTGTTGCTTCTGTGCTCATAGCTTGAGCTGTATACCTGAGATGACCATATTAAATATATTCCTTTGTTCTTTCTCATTCAGAGGAAGAAAAGTAGAAAAGACTGTGTGAAACGGAGCAGTCTGAAAGTCTTTTTAAAAAAGAAAGTAGAACAAATCTCTTTACTGAGAGATTTCTCCAAAACAAAGGTTTTCCCAGAGATTTTGAAGTTTCTTTGTACCATATAAGGAGCAGTTGGGGTGCTTTTAACTTCAGAATAACAAATCAAAACATGACAACAAAGAAATTTCTTCAATCTGTTTTTTTTTTTTTGATGACAGATAAATCATTTTTTAATCTCTTCTTATGTCTGTGTCTGTTTGAATCTTCTCTTTTTGCAGCGAGTTGCCCTGTCCTTTGACTTTCCTTTTTATGGACATTACCTGAGGCAGATTACCATAGCAACCGGAGGTACGTTTTGATTTTCTAACAGATGTTCAAGTGACCTTCTGCAGTGCACTAAGTTGTACACAAGTCTTACATATTTTTTTCCTTCTGGCCTTTTTCCAGGGTTTATCTTCACAGGGGACATTACTCACCGTATGCTGACTGCAACACAGTACATCGCCCCTTTAATGGCTAATTTGGACCCCAGCTACTCCAAAGAATCCACTGTGCAATACCTTGATAATGGTATAATACCATCTGACATTTGAACATGTCCTTGAGTATGAGATTGTCTGATCTTTCTGTTTGATTTCTATTTGGCTTTCATTATCTTCAGGTGAGGTCTTTGTGGTCCAGTGGGAGCATGTCAGAATCCCCGGCAAAGAGTCAGTAGGAGGTTTTACCTTTCAAGTTGCTCTTTACAAAACAGGAACCATCACTTTCAGCTACAGAGACGTGAGGGACATTTCTGCTCTGTGCTCTTACTGGCACTCTCAGATCAGGTCACTTGATCTTATTTTTGCAAGCATTAAGTGAAACTTCTTCTTTGTCTTTACCAGATACCTCTGTCGGTAGACGTGATCAGTGCAGCTGAGCACCCAGTGAAAGCTGGGTTATCTGATGCCTTCATGGTCATGTCGCCATCTTCTCAGTCAGCAGGTCAGCAATAATTGTGCACTACAATAAAGTGCTACCATAAAAAAAACACATATAAATCATAATATTTCCATTTCAGATCTCCCACGGCAAATGATCTATGAGTACCATCGAGTTGAGATAGACGTTACAAAGATTACCAACTACTCTGCTGTTGAGTTCACTCCTTTGCCTAGTAAGTGAATATCTAAATCTCCAGAGATTTCTTTCCACAGTCAAAGATTTAAAAATCAGCAGTGTTTTCCTTTTCTTTCCCCGTGCAGCCTGCCTTCTGCATGACAGCTGTGAGCTCTGCCTCTCAGCCAGCCAAACCTCTGGTTGTAGTTGGTGTCACGTACTGCAGAGGTGAGTGGGGAATTCTGCAAACCGACAGTGTTAGCAAAATAATCATTTAAATGTCTCCTGTTTTAGATGCTCAGACGGCATGGACAGACACAGACAAGAATGGCTGGATTATGCTTGTGCAGAAGAGGTATAGTTGGACTAAATATCAGTTTATTGTATTGTGTTGTCCACGTTTTAACATGTGTTTATCATTAATTGCACTGTCAACTGTATTGGCAGAGCCAAGGCGCAACATGTGAGGATTACTACAGGAACGACAACTCCATTGGGGCCTCCATCACACCAGAGATCGAGGACATTACCTCTCTGACTCCACGACAAAAGGGCTGTGACAGTGACGGTGAGAATATGGAACTAAACTCTGTGGGTTTGCTCAGTAAAAACGACAAACAGAATCTACAATGGAATAAGTATTTAAACTTTTACTTTCAGATGAATCTAAACATCAGGTTTTCAAGACTGGTAGTGGTGAGTACCACTTGTAGAAACTGGTAAGATTATGTTTGGGAATGAATTCTTAAGAATTTGTCTTAGTTCCAGATGTAAAAACTGATTCTTCAACAAAGAGCGTTGGGTTTGCTAACACAGGCTTGATCGCTGGGTTAGCATCTGCCCTGGTGCTGCTCTTGGCCCTGATACTGGTATCTCTTTACATCAGCTACCATCCTTCTGCTGTATCACCTGTTTACCTCATTCAGGTGAGCTCAAAACATATCCTATACATGTTCAGTCTGAGTCAAGCTGATGTTCATATTCTAAACAATGATAATAATATGAGTATTATTATTGCTTGATGCATTTCAGCGACGCAAGAGCTACTGGCCCTCCTTGAAGTTTCAAAAGCAAGAGTCTGGTTAGACGGAAGTGGAAGGAGGCGGTCATGAAAAAGACAGCATTGTTGAAGCCGGGCCATGTTAAATCCATGTGAAGGGAATTACGGATCATGCATGTTGTGCAAATAACTACATTGCAAATTGAGTTCCAAATAAAGGATTAAAAGTCTTTTTTAAAAACATACCTTAAAGGGATGGTGCTGTTGTTGAACATTATTTAGAAATGTAAGGTTTTCATAGTCCTTCCACTGCATTACACTGTAAAATGCATGCAACTAAGCTGACATACATAAACTTTGCAGTTTTTTCATCAGATAAGCAAAGATATGAGAGAGTGAGCTTCACTTTCAGTTCCTGCTGCTCTTGATTGCGATTGTGATGCTTTTGAGTTCCACTTTTTTGTCTTGCTCAAATGTAACCCTATCATTTCCTGAACAGTACTCCCGCTTGAAATGCATGCTTTGTTGGAGGGGGGGGGTGTAACTAAAGATTCTGCATTTTTCTTCTATGCTGTACATAAAATAAGTGTAAACAAATAGTCTAATGTTGCAGCTGGCTACACACATTAAATAATGCAGGCCGATACGCAGATACAGTGCAACTCTTTTGTCAGCAGATGTCACTCTAAACAAAAGGATCACACGAGCAGTGAAGTAGGGCATGTAGTGCAGTGAACGTGGCAGATGTGTAAAATTTGATGTGAGGAAACTGGACTGGTGAAGCACAAAAAAAGAAAAGGGAAAAAAGCCCTATAAAGATGATCGCACAAGTGTTCTATGCGAGCACAGATGGCGCAAATAAAGTTAAGTTTCATATGCAAATGCACAGGCGTCGATTGGACCTTCATACTGTTACAGAAAACTGAAATAATGTTGCTTCATTTCCAAGTAAAACAGTGCTATAGTCCCAGTTAAATATATAAATGTACGAATGTTCTCGTTCCTTAATTTGGAGTAATATTTTTTCTTTTTCAGAAATAAAAACAAACATAAAAAACGGATCCTCCTACACAACCTCTTCCCTTTCTGCTCGGACACGCGCAGTCGAGGGAGGAAGAGAGGGGGGCGGCGGGAGCGCGCTTTCCGTCTCTGGTTAGTGGACTGACAGCCAGCTGTGCAGCTACAACGACAACAACCTCCTGGATTTCCTACATACAACTAGATTAGAGTTGGTCTGCTACTGCTTCTAATCATACATTATAGCTGTTTTTCGGAGCAAACACTCGACGGCACACAGCTACGACCAGTATCATCGGCGTTTTCTGTGCTAACTAGCTAGAAGAGCATTCCTCCAACATGAATCCGTTGTGTAGCAGATGTAATCTAGTCGTTTACCCCACGGAAAAAGTGAATTGTCTGGACAAGGTAAGAACCGAAACCTTCTCGTTTTCGTATCTTTCTTTCTTAAATTAATGCTGATACACTGCCGTGGAGTGGTGCAGTGACTCAACTTATTTCAGCACCCCAAAAACTACAAATTTCACATATTTTTGTGAATGAATCGAACACCCCAACTGGACAGGTATTTCGCTAGCCTTGCAGGCTAACGGCTAACTCACGTCTGGAAGGCGGCGGCACAACAGTGCGTACACTAAAATCAAATTAAACCGCATTGTGGTATTGGTGGGTTATCTTAAGGGACCGGAATTTGTATTTTTGTCCCAAAGATGATAGCCTCAAGCTGTGGTACGGATTTACCCCAACCAGCACTTCACAGTGCTTCCGGAGAGCCATGTCTAGTCTAGGCCTGGCTCCAACCGCTGCTTTGACGAAACCTGACAATCAACGTTTTTAACCTCGATGGCAGACTAATTGTGTGTATTTAAAAATTATCTATTAACGCACGATTTATAAAGAGAACGGTATAGCCCCGTTGTCATATTTTTCGTGTCCACTGTTGTTGAAGACAACGTGGACTGATGTGGACGTGTCTGTGTCTAATTCACTGGCTAATCCAGGTCAGGGATGATTAGTCGAGCAGCCTAGTTAGTTTTTAGGCAAAGTAGACGTATAATCTCATCAATTGTAGCCACAGTGGATCTGTCGAAGCTACCAATTTGCACGGGAGCAACAACTGGTGTTAACATGGTGCTGCACGTCGTCTTCCTCTTTCCCTTTCAGCTTTGATGAGGCAAAGGTGTCCAGAATGTGTTGAATATTGCAGCAATCACTTCTGATGTAAATCTGTAAAGAGATATTGCACTCGCTGTGTTGATCAGGGTGGGGTCTGGTTGCTTGATATATGATCCATAGGTTATATTTGACCAAAGAAGGACCTGGGGCAAGTACCCAATTTGTCTAATGGAAGTCTGAATGGTCAATGAAAATCAATGCCTGTTGAGTTGTCTTATCTGTTGGGCTTAACAGATGGAAAAGGTGTAGAAAGGCACATTCACAAAGCAGTTTATCTAAAGGAACATCAGCAATGACTGGATACGTTACTGCTCTGCTTCACGGTTGTCTTCCCCAAGTGCCCTGTATTCAAATACATTTACGTCTTCCTGCATAAGCACCGTAGTACAAGTCATTTTAGCATGCTCGAAAGTTAGTGTAAATGCAAGTCAAATTGCCTGAACTACAGCTTGAATGCAGGCTGTAATTCAGCCTAAAGGAGCGTGCATTCCAGCAGACAGACACTCCCGTAAAACGTGCTCTGTCAGTGGCCTGCTGTGCTATCTCCCTTCTCTGAACTGAGCACAGGAGTGTAGCCCGCTGTCTGTCTTAGCTGCCATTCCACATCAGCGCACACCCCCTTTTAGACATGCCAAAACAACCTCCCTTTTCCCTTCTCCATGGGACACACACACATTGCCATTCTATTTTTGTTTTAAGCAGCAGAGTTGAAGATTTTTTTTCATGTACCAGGCTAGCTCAGGTGAATGCTCAGGGGCCTAAGGGCTCTGACACGTCTGTGTTTTTAATCTAAACCAAGTATCTTAACCTGACAAGCTTCTTCTTTTAATATCCCTCTTTTGAGAGGCTAAACCACATAGGCTTTTTTTGTCTGACAGTTGCATTCCTGTATAGCGGGGTAGGGCCCCGCGGGCAGCTGAACACACGTAAAGACAGGAAGTAAATTTTAGTTCAAGCTCTTGTTGGTAACGGTTTTGCCTTGTCATTTGGCTTCCTTTGACTACCTAAAATGCTTGCTGGTAGTAATGAGACGAGATGCATATTTGGCTCTAGTGTCCGACTCATATCTACCAGAGTGGCTTTTTGTCGCTTGAGTTGAGGGCAGCTTTTGAACTGTAGCCAATGAAACTTTTAACGAGGAAGTGTTTTTTTTTTAAAAGCACAGGCTAATATGCAAATCACACTAGGTCCACTTTAAGTTGATATGCAGTTCTTGGATAAATAAAATTATTGGTGTGTTTTATTAAGCGATAGATTCAACACTTTAGCGGGAAGTGTGGATTTTCAAGTTAAACTGAGTATCTGTGCAGAGTCACAGAAACACTCAAACAAGCTTTGCAGGAGTGTCTGTGAATTTCTCATTGCCGCATGCTGTCTGCGTTTTGTATGACTGAAATATGCAAACTATTCCCACCCACAGGTGAAATGAAAGTCCTTGAACATCTTTAAGGGGGTTCATTAATAATTAACTGTGACGTATGTGTGGTTGTGTTCACAACCTAGCTGAACTGGTTAATTAGGTCTGCAGTTTAAAGCTTTTTCAAATGTATGTAAATATTGTGAGAATGTGCGTTATGACGGCTTGTGTTTTATTGAGTATGTAAAACATGCACTACTTCGACATGTTTGGCTTGTGAGCCTGTTAGTTGGGTCAACATATTTTGATTGTTCTTTGGAATTTATTTGTTGAAGCATGTCAGACACAGCTTTTATGCAACCAGTTATCTCCCACATGGCATCAAGTTTAGTAGGTAAGTCTCAGCCTAACTCTGAACAAGCAGCCTTTTGACAGAAAGCCAGAAGAAATACAGATTAGCCAAAGCCAAATGGAACTTTATTTATATGAAAATAAAATGGAAAACTTTTATGGAGCAAACAAAGAAGAAATAGCGTTGCATGTGCTTTATAAGTGCTTTTTATTTGTTATTTTATGTTTAAATTATTTCACATATTTAAACTGTGAGAATAGGGTTCTCGCAAACTGGGGAAAATGGAACAAATATCATGTCTTAATATTTGTACATGGCAATATATGATGCTATGCATATCTCTTTATTCATATAAGTAAATATACACATACAATACTGCAGTCACTCTAATTAAAACTGACATTTCATAAACATTTCATAGTTTGTTCTTAAAAGCAGGCAGTTTCCCAATGACACGTTTTGGTTTCTTTGAAGTGGGACTGTTTGAGGACCTGATCCACAGTCTGTGTGTTACCTACAATGATGGTTAGCGGCTCAGAAACTAACCAACGTACTGCTGTGGATGGAGTCCACACCAAATTGCATTTATCCTCCTGAAAAATCAATACTGCTTTTATGTATGCTATATTTAGAAGTTTTTTACTGCTTTATCCACCATTAGACACCTCTTTCAAACGAGGAACTGAAGGCGCTGTGCTTGTAAAAGCCACCAGTCTCCATTGAAAAAACACTGCCTTTTTTACTTTGTGAAAAATGGGAGATGCTGATCTACCACAGTCTCTGCTCAGTTAATGTTATAGTGTGACTTTTAGTTTTTTAATAAGGTAACTTGGGTCCAAACTATTATGCTAAACATAAAAATTTACAGCAGTAGACCAACACCACCTGTTATCTGCTTGGAAGAACTGCTGTTTTCATCAACAGTCTGGTCGTTTCAAAAAAAGAGCAATTTCTTTCTTAATGTCTGGTTTATAACTTCGCATCTGACACGTTTTGTTGCTCTCTAACCAATCTTTTAGAGTTATGGCTAACTTGTGTCCCATTTTTTTTTTACTGTCATTGTTAACAATGTGGTTAGTCTGTAATTCCTCTGCTATGGAACAATAGTGTCTAAGATGGGAGCTTCAGTTGTACTGCTCCCTTTCAATCCCTGGAAGTTGTTAGAAATCTGGTTAATGGTAATGTTGTTCAAATTGAGGTGCTCTGTACAGTTTATACTTAAGCGTGATATAAACTCTTCCTATGTGCCGAGATGTGGTTTATAATTTATAAATTGCTCCTATTAAAAATCACAATAACAATTTTCTGGCTTGCAGAATAGTCTCCCTACTTCTAACATTAAACGCCTTACTGTTTGTAGGTTAGTCTTATGCAAATTTTTAATTCTGCAAAAGCTACACAATGTTGTGTAGGTTTAAAAAAAAAAAAAAAAAATCTTAAAGGTAAAGTAATGTCTGTATTTTCACTCTGTTATTCTTGCTCCAATTTTTGCTCCTTACCTTAGTTTCAGAGGAACCTGTCTGCTGCCTTTGCCTATATTTAGACAGATTATTTTGAGAGCTGATTCATGTTATCCAAATGTCACAAGAGTTGAGGACTCTGTGCAGCCACTGCCACCAGTCACATCTCTTTGATGACTCAGAGTCACAAACACACATGAGGTGTTGACTTGACATCAAGTGGCCAGGTACTTCTGCTTGGTGTGAAGAAGCCAGTGCACATGTGGGGTTGGTTGTCCCAAACTATTACATGCTTATTTGTACCTGCACACATTTCTTGACTATAGGGGTTTACATCTTGATTCTTGGGCCACAATTTTTGTTCATATTTTTGATTTTCCTTTAGAAGGGCTTGGGGAAAAAAGAGGGAAAAATAGTTTTCCCGTACATCTGATGACTTGATCATGATTACACTCTGAACAACAAAAAAAACAAGATTTCAGCTGCTTTTTTTTGACCAAAATAATTTTAAAGGAATGCGAAGAAGTATGTTCTGGCTTTTTCCATACCAGCTCACCTGGGTTCTTCAGGTTCATGAATTTTCTTGAACCTGAAAAAACATGGAAACCTCTGTTCATGGTACACAGCAAAATTCAAAAAGAATACCTGGCCATGTAATTTTCAGCATTTTTGAGATTAGTTTCTTGTGAACATTAGCTAACATATATTGTTTATTTTTGTCTGCACCAAGGGACAACATTGATAAATTCCTGCATGTATTCAAATAGATAGATGCCACTAAGTGTTTTACAAAAATCTAAATGACCTATCTAAGAATCTTAGGTTAGAGAAAGTTAATGATATACAAATGTCTGCTGCAGGAAATTAAAAACTAGTGGAAATAATTATTATTAATGAAAGCATCTTTTTTCTTATAATATAAATGTAAATAACCTTTTACCCTCAGCAAACCACACAAAATTTCGCACATTTCACATGATTAGAGAGTTTATATGCAGATTATTTACACTTAAGCAGAAGTGTTTTGGCATTTCTTATCAACTCTGTCTCTTGTCTTTTCTGTAGTTTTGTTTTCCACACAGAAATATGTGTATGTTACACATTACAGTCTGGTGTAGTTTGAAAAGTTAATATCATACTGGGGCATAGCCTGTCAAATCACAGTCTGCCTGCTGGACAGCAGAAATGCTCTGGGCCTGGATGAAAATGAATGGTATCAGTTGGGCTAATAATTAACCTGCCTACATTAATTAGTTAGTTTCCTATAATAGCACCAGCCAGATGTGTGAACTTTGTCTTTAGGCATGTGCTATCTTGTGGAAGACTAATCATTCACACTCGCAGAGCTGCTGTGCACTGTGGTGTGTGGTGTGTTGGTTTTGGCCACTGTTGGAGACAAACAGCCCTCACAGCATGTTTCAAACTATACCACTTCCCAAATTGTCTGTACTGAAGTTTAATTTCTGGATATTTAGCCATAGGTAGGGAAATATTTCATTATGGTACCAGGAGACATCCTTGGGTGCACTAAATTCCTCACATGTCTAATATGGTGATTAACAGAGGACTGAAACATACATATCCACTTAATGTGGAACATAGATAGTAATGAAACTGTTTTTGTGTTAAAGTGATAATGAGACTGTCAATTAATCAAATGGGAAAGTAACACCAGCCAAGCCCTTGAAAATGTGTCTGCTTTAGTGTCTCTTAGGAGGTGCCCAAATGGTGTTTCCAACCAATATTTCTATTGAAATCTATTGAAAGCAGTCATTTGGTTTTGTGTTTTGGTTTACTATTGGACCATGGTGAGTGAGTAATCTGCCCTAATTATGTACTAAATGTGAAATCGCAAGTGGTTGGCACAACAGGCCTGGGGTACTTTAATGCTTTAAGCTGGGCACTTCTATCAGAATATTTTTAGTATGTTACAGTATGCATCTGGTCAGACTCTCAGTACGTTTCCTCCTGATTTGTCTGCATAGACTGTGTGTTTAAAGGGTTACTGACCTTCCATGCATCTACATGGGATTTTACGTGGTCCATTTATATTTGACTCTTACTGAAAGGAAGCTGTGAGACTGAGTGAACGTCTCGGCTCTTGGCTCGATCGTTGGGTCCACGCTGACACAAATACATCATGCATTAACACATATAACCTACATACAGTAATACACACATCCACCGACAGGGTTAATTCTCACGCACACACAGACACAGGCGTACATACACAACTGCCCTTGAGCTGTGCTGATGCAGGGAGACGGAGCATTTTTTTTAAATGGTGTTTTATTTCTAGGGCTCTAGTTCTGCAGTGTCCTCATTTTACAGCTGACTGCCAGATCTTGTCTTGGCACCCAAGAGCCAGGTTTTCCTGGAGCTGGACAGGGCTAACTGCAGGATGACCTCGCTAACACACGGCTGGGATGTTTCTCTCATTCACATATTTTTGTTTGTCCATTTCTTTCTGACTGCCACCTACTCATCTTATCATAGATAGGTGATAGCAGTTTGTTGGTGGTGTTAAAGAAGGCAGGGTAGAGTTCAGGGTTCACCCATGGTTCTGTGCGCATGTATGGGTTTTTGCAAAAGGGATCTTATCAGTTGCCTCCCAGTGAGTCTTTAATCCTGCTGTTCAATGCCACTACCATTAGCAGCACTAGTCCTTGTTCAGCAAGCGTGACATAGCAGTACCTGAAGCAGTTTTGCACCTGTTGCAGTTTCTTATTTAGAGTAGCTCTCCAGGTCATGTAAAAGGCTGCAGTCCAGCATGGTGGAGATGGAGGTTGGTGTTCTAGTGTGGAGAGCCACTGGTCACCCAGCAGATAGGGAAGGCCTAGCTTTAGCTGGTTAGGACCAGGGATGACCATGATATTCGAACAGTAGAATGATATTTAAGTTTTAAAACATTATAATATTTTCACCTCAGTATTTATTTACGTTTTGTCTAAAATATAAACGTTCTTTTAGCCAGTGTCTGGTTGGATGCACATTACCAAAAGAATACAGGAATTAAACTTCGACGCAGTGTTTTTGTGACATGATAAATACGCCATTCACAGAGAACCTACCAGGCTCTACCTTTGAATGTATGTCAGTAGTCTTTAAACCCACAAAAACAGTGTTGCACTGTATTGCCAGGGATAGATTTCTAGAAACAAAACAAATCCTGTTTTCCCTGCTTTTCTAACAATACCACTGAAACTTAGTCAGCTCAGGCATGATGTCACTCCCAATTCTGACATTCGACTTCAGAAGAAATAAAAAACTCAGCAGTAAGAGAGAACTTAATCCAGCATGAAATGTACCAGGTAATGTTATCATGCTCTAAATCTGCCTTTGGGATAGTTGGGGAACTTCGAAGTTAAATAGCTGTGGAAGAATATCAACTAGTATTTTTTTATTATTTTTTTGCATAAAATGCCCAGCCACAGTTGGCAGGTGACACATTTCCAAATAAAGAGGGGGGTTTTCCACTAGTAAATCAATCATTCTGTTCTCTCAGATAGATGGGAAAAAAATAACCAAACACACTTGGAGGAGTGTCATTGTAACTAGGTGAACTGCCCAAGTAAAGTCAATATATAAAGAGTGTGTTCATATATCATACCATTACTCAGAATGTTCAGATTACACTAAGACGAGTGGCTGATATTTGCATTGTATCACATATTGGTGTTGAGTGACCATAATGATGTCATCTATGGCCACTGCTACGCCTAAAGATATGTCTGCTGTGGGCAGTAGGCTAAATGCATACTAAGCACTTAAAGTGTCATTGGTGGTCCTTTACTCTGTCCATGATGTTTAGGCTATAAATTTGAATATTTAGATCTTGCTGGAGCTGTATAATTTCCCCTCTTCAAAAGGCTTTGTTTCTTCAGTGCATTTCGGCACCTGTTTAGAGTCGTCTGCTAGTGATTAGTTCAATTGAAGAGACTGTTTGCTTTGAACTGCCAGAGTAGGGTATCTGCCACCCAAGAAGGTCATGCTGTCCAAGGAAAGGTCTCGGTTGATGAGGGTCGCCATCGTGGAATCTGGGTTAGCAGGTTGGGCAAGACTTAGGGATAGTTTGCTAAACAGATGAGTTCAGCAAACTTGTTCTCAAGGTCAATATTTATTCTAGGAAACAACGGGAGTACCAAGGTCCATGCTCCGCTCACGTGTGTGACTCAACAGAATTTTCATTTACACTTGTCTATTTAGGCTCCACATGGATAATTTATTACTAGTTTATTATTAAAGAATTGGGGGATTTTGGAAGGGATAATAATGGAGACTAATTAATAGTGACTATGATACTGGGCTGCTGCGTTGGAAGTAGCTCAACCTGCAAAGATGGCTGCCAGCACAGCTGCAGATCAGCTGAAGCTATAGGAAATGGAATCTGCTTGCAGTATGCTGTTGTTTGTGAAGGGATTTGCCATCGCAGTTCTAGACAGAAGAATGAAGAGCAGGAAAAAGTAACATGATGTGTCCATCTGCAGCTCCCTCAGGCTTCAGCTGGGTTGTAGTGGGATAAAGAGTTTGCATTCGAAGGCTTGGCACAGTGCGTTTGGCTGCGGATCACAGCTCCGCTGAGGAGAGCCGAGGCCTGATTTCCACTGTGTGCTGCTTCTTTTGTATGCCTCAGTACAGTATTGCTTACCCCCAGCTACAAACACCCATGCCAAACACATTCATACACTTGCTTGTTGTCGGTACACACCTCTCTGGGTGGGCTGTTAACATCCAGACAGAACAAAAGTTGATCTCAAAATCAACCTGAAGCCATATCTTTTGATTTGATCATTTCTGAAGCCTCCATTGTGCTGCATGTTTCCATTCATAATAGTGCCAGGATTGCATTGTCGATCTACAGCGTACATATGCAATAACCCTCAACATTATAGTGATTTATTCCAAGCACCCTGTAACACATCAAATTGCACTGCACACAACAGAACCTGATGTTGTATTTCCATATGCTTCTGTGGTTTTATCCTCTGCTTTGAATCATCTTTTCCTTGTTGTTTGTTTGGAAGACTAGTGTTTAGTGTATGGGCAGTTGGTGTAGAAAATGATAAAGAGTAGGTGAAAGAAAGAGAGGGAGGGCAAAGCGCCTCAAGGCCATGTTAATAAGGACTCACTCTTTCTCTCTCACTCTCTCTTTATGTCTCTGCGCTCCTCCCTTCATTCCCTTGATGATAGCAGGAACAGCCAGATCATTGCTTCACTGTCTGGCGTTTTCTTTCTCTTGCCCACCCCTCCCAAACATGCTCCCTTCCTCTTGCTTTCTCCAGCTCCTTACTTTCATGTTTCCTCCCTCCTCTCGGTTTTCTCCAATCTTCAGTCCCTCTCTCTGAATCTTCAGGCTGCAAATCAGCCCAGTGCCAGAAGAGTGAAGAAGAGGAGGCATGAGGGCGAGTGGGTGGTAGGAAGGGAGAAAGGGTGGCTAGGGAGATGGAGGCACAACATCTTGTGACAATGGTAGGGGAGTCGAAGAGTGGCCTGCACACCAAGCAGAGTCTCTGTAGCAAGTATGTCGCTGCTGTCTTTGCACTTAACCTCATAGCTAATGGTAAAGGTGTGAAAATTTGTGACCACAAGAAAATAAACACATAAACTGTACAGCTATCCTTTGTCGCTCACACAAGAGTATCGAGACCTGCTTATAAATAGCAAATACAATTTGCTAGCAAAGGAGAAGTTGTTTTGTTTCTGACTCTTCAGTGCCAGCTGACGTAAAACTGCATTGCTTCACTTTTTTCACACAGACCTAACAGTTGTCCTAACTCTCATTTCACTTCCCTCTGTTTGCTGATGTATCAGCATCTCTTTGTATACAAGTAAAATAAATCAAACTCTCCTTGCTTAACTTATTGTGTCCTCTCTGTTTTGACAGTATTGGCATAAAGGATGCTTCAGCTGCGAGGTCTGCAAAATGACTCTAAACATGAAGAATTACAAAGGCTTCGAGAAGAGACCATACTGCAATGCGTAAGTTGTCCCTAAGTTAATCACTTTGTGTGTGTCAGTGAACATGTCTCATGTTTTGTCCTCAAGCAATTCAGCTTGCATCCCTAAGACAGAGTGACAGCAGTGTTTAATTTGTCCACAGCCTGAAATGGGACTCTGTTTGTGTGTGTGTGCTGCGACCCAACTAAGGCCCCTCTTTCCCTCCCTTGCCGGTTATCTGTAACTATTCCAGCTCCCCCTTCAGAGAAAACGCCTCGATGTGGTGTGGGAAAGTGCCTCCCTCCCTTCTCCTCGGTAGGGAAGGGGGGGGGTATCAACAAAGGAAATTCCTGAAGTTCCTCTACAGTGACACAGGCGGACACTGAAAACTACCATGTCCGCTCACGCTTAAGCACTAAAGGCTCATCAGGAATTTATGGAATCCCCCTCTCTCATTACTTATAATGATTTTCTTCTCCTCTGTGTGTGTTTGTGAGAGCTTGAGTGGAAGTTCAGAGAGGGAATGAAGGCAGGAGGCGTGGCTTCATGTTCTGACAAGCTCTTTTGCTGAACTGCCATTTTATTGTTGAGGAAATGACTCAAGACAACATGCTACCATTGTCACTTTCAACTTCAGTGTGAAAATAGAAGTAGTATGCTTGTTATTGTCAGCAGTGACATGTAGGATTTAGCTTCCTTTGTGATTAAAACCTTTGTTTGTTGGGGTTTTTGGGGGTGTACATTGACATTATAATATAGACATTCCAGAGTTAAATGCTTTAAAGTAACTGCAAGTAAGTGCCCAGAGGTTTCAAGATGACTGTCAAGTCAGAAGGACTTGCTGGAGGGACACAAACATGTCGTATGTTTCATGTCATGGCACATATTGGTGCAGAAACAAAGTAAGAAAGGCATTTGAGAAATTCCCTGCCCCACCCTGTTTTAAAAAAGAAACTGAGATAAGAAACCCAAGTGTTGAACTGATTTGCTCATTTGATTAGAACTTCACAGTCCAAACAGACAGCAGTGTAGAGTCTAACTTGATCGACTGGTAGAAACATACAAATGCTAAGGAAAAGTCTAAATGTTATGGTTTCATTTTTTGTTTTGAAACCACATTTTTCTTCTCAGTGTATTTGGCTGCTAAAAGTTGATGCCTGTGCATGTTTTTTTTTTTTAATTTCCACATAAGCTGTTAACAACCATGTGCCCTGTCAGGTAATACAGGTGATGGCAGCTTGGTGTGGCCATTAAAAAAAAAAAAAGAAGAAAATGTTTCCTTGTCTTTCTGTTCATTGATCTGGATTTGATTCCCTTTCTTCTCTGAAGTTGGAATATGTCTAACTACTTGGGAAGCTGCAATTTAACCTGAGAAAGCGAGTTAGAAATGATTAACTGCCAAATACGATAAGCAAAACCTGCCTTTAAATGCAAATCATTTCTGGGTTAAACTGCAGTGTAGGTCGGCCAGTTTATACAGTAGACACGTGTATCTATCATCATATTTTGACCTTTTTTAACTGGAGAAGCAAAGGTCTTACTGCAACAAACAATAGCTCCAAGCTATAGTGGACTTTGAAACTGAGCCAACCAAATTGAATTGAACCACTGATGTTTAACAGATAATACTTGAGCTTTTCCTACTGAAACATTTACATCGTCTCTGCATTTTTGTTGTCCCTGTATATAAATCAAAACTGCCATGTAAGCAGAACAATTAAAATACAATTAAAATAAAGCCATACAGGTGCTGTATACTCGTACAACTGTGCCTCCTCTGACTTTCCCTGTTGGCTTGATTTCAGCTGAGGTCTAATTGTGCCACAATGAGTGTAAACACCTGTTTGTAGGCCTAATTATAAGCTTATATATGATGATAATATGTGGTAATGTTAATGACTGTTATTAGTCGTGAAACATCTGTTCTTGTTTTAGTGTGTAACTCAGACTCTTATCACTGCTTTCATTCACATTTATATTTAGCTTGTTGGCCTCCTACAGCAGGTGACATCTCATCCTACTATCCCATTTGTTTACTAAAAATTAAAATGGCCCCTTCTTTTCCCAATTTCTGCTTCCGATGTTCCCTTGGTAAGGCAGGGAGGCCCTTCAGAGCCTGTTTATTATGCCTCTTTCCGTTTGTTTAAAGCAGCCTTGTTTGAGTAAACATCATCAGTGGAAGAGCTTGCCGCTACTTCAAGAAAGGAATGCAGCTAGCATCCCCTGTTATTATTCTGTGGGATAACGACTTTATCATTACTCCTCTATATTTGTACTTAGTAAGTGATATAGGCGCTGTTTATTTTCTCTGTATTCCCATCCACCTCCTCCCTGAGAATCTCTGGTTAGATAGTTAGAAGTGGTGGGAGATTAGGAGGATAAGTAGAGAGGAGAATTCATTATTCCCCCCAGAGACTAAAGGAGCCAAATAATAGGATACTACCTTAATGACTGATGTGATATTAATTTGAGCATCACACAGTGTTGTTAGAGCATCTCATGATTCCTTGATTTACTGTTGTTTTTACAATGCAATTTCCTTACTTCCCCTGGACTTGGGCAATTTTCTCTATAGTCTAAGTATCTCGCCACCCTCATGAGATCGCTCATAACCGATAACCATCCTCCATAATATACATACTGTGTTTACATAAAATGAGCGATTTAGATTACTGTAACTCTTGACTATAAGTGGGTGTATATTAGCTCAACAACTAAAACTGTAAGTCCTCCATTTGTCTGGCTCTTGTTACTTTTTCCCCCATATTCTTTGGGCTTTTATGTATCTAGTATCTGTGTCTACATTTTTATGTGCATAAAGCGGCACACCCTCTTTGCTTTTCACCATGCTATCCCCCCAAACACACACACGGCCAAGCACACACTATCAGTGCCTCAAAGAGTTTGAGAGGAACTCTTCAAAAGGAAACGTTTAATAAGCACTACAAGCTCATTCATTCCAAAGAGTGAAGAGTTGCAAACTTATGTCCTAAGTGTCAGTTAGAAATTTATTACATTCAATTTTGCATTAATGTAATAATAATAACAATAATAATAATGGTGATAGTGTGGAATTAATGTACAAATGTAACAACAAGTTTTTTAAAAATCCCCTTGATTGTCACACTGTAGCTGATTATAGTAAAAATAATAATCACCATTATTTTGGTCAGTATGACAGTCCAAATTGCACTTGAAAACTGTTCTTTTTAGTTAGTTAGGTTTTGATGATTGTGTCTTTTGACTCTGGCTCACAATAGCACCTCTAGTCTTTGTTGGCTCGCCTCCACTGTTTGAATGTTTCCGGGTACAGATGGGGGTGAAGAAAGTCCTGAGCCACGGTCGAGCACCGGGTAGAAATGAGAGCTTCATGGCTAAAATGGATGCAAACGAGTAATCCTTTTAAGCAAATTATTTTGAGTTAATAATTGATGCAGAAAAAAAATGTAATTGATATTAAAATCTGATTTATTGTCTAACTCTATTGTCCATTGTCACAAGATAACTCAAGTTGATTTATTTTTATGCTGGAAGCTGACTGACAAAGAGACTGTTATCTGCTGCACATAGTGCAACTGTGTGTGTGTGTGTGCGTGCGTGTGTGTGTGTGTTTTTGTGAGGCTGCTGTTCAGATTTCACAGTTAGCTGCCCCTCAGTTACGCATTGAACTTGTTGAGTAGGATGCTGTGTAAATGTAGATGAAATGTTCTTGCTGAATGATTCATTACAACCTTTCCAGGTCTCACAGGGTCAAGCTGGCCACAGCATCTCCTGGTTCCACTATTCAAACAGGCCTCTCCTCCATCACAGTAGGCAGCTTGTGTGTGTGTGTGATTACACATGCGTGGCCTCCTGACTACCCCACTTCCCTCCATTTTGATCACTCCCTGTTTAGCATTTGTGCATGTGTCACCCCTTCCCGTTTGCGACTTATTACCTTGTTATACAAGCTGACAGACAGATGAGTGTTCTTTTGACTCATTCATAGCCTCAAACTTGCACAGAATCATGAGCTTGGTTACACACACCGACAGAAAGACACACACACTCTTCTCAGATCTCACTGAGTCACTAAGCTTGTATCTGAAATTTAATGGCCCTTGAGTGCAACAGTTTACAGATACAAAGGTGACATAAACACAGTTAACACAGATCAGGTGCAAACTAGACACGCCCAGCTTTAGAAACAAAAAGCACATATTAGTTTCCCAGCTTTGATAAAGGCAAACATACCCGGACAAATTTAAGGGATAGATTGCTTGTAAAATGACCTGTAGGGATGCTTGATAGCAGCCAGTTTGTAAAATTCTTCTCCATACAAATAGGCATTTGGCAGTGCAACTAGCATATTCTCAGAAAAGTACTGCTATTAAAAGGCCAGATTTTTTAAAAATTATTTATATAGGGTCAAGGATCTGTAACGTTGTTGATGGATAAAAAAAAATTAGAGCAATAGTACCATGGCCGTTTTTTTCCCCTTTAGACCATGAGGTTTTTTTGCTCCTTAATTTAGGATTTAATGTGGTAATTAATGTATGCACTCAGCTGTGAGTTGCTTGTGTACGATAAACAAATGAGGTTAGTGCGCTTCTATAGGAAAATGCCTTTTTGCTTTTATCACTATATGTCTGAGAGTAGTGAAAGTGTACTTTAATTTGCATGATTTGATTAGCTCACCTAGCCTCAGCTGCTAGGATAGCAAACCACTACATCTAAATGTGTAGATAAATGTTGCTTCAGGAAATTGAGAGCCATATACCTCTGTGTGTAGATGGACACAGAAACACTGTTTGGGTTGAAATTCCAACTTCCAGTTTCTGCTGTTGTCCAGATCTGACTACTTTTTTCTACTTCCCGTCCTCCAAAATTGTCCCTTTTTAAAATTAGCTGGTGTACGCTGTAATTAGCTGTTGTCAAGGAAACCGTAAACATATTGCCTAAGTGGGTTACCCAGAGGCATGGAGACCTGTTAAAGATTTTTCGAGGTCACCCAGTGCTAAGAGGCAGGCTGGGAACTTCAGTTCATATGAGCAGTTAGATAAGCTGTTTGGGCTCTTCCGCTCCTGCTGGACTACTGCCATGTTCTTTTGCAGCCTTAAGGACCACACTGAACTGGCAGGCACAATTATTTGTGGACCTGAAGGCTACTTGTACTCAGAAGCCTCCAGTGTATAAAAACACTGAGTTATGCCACATATACACGCACATGCACACATTAACTAGTGATTGCAGTTCATGCAGTCATTATGTAAGTATGTAATGAACAGCTTTTGCTTGGTGTGCTGCATGTGAGCATGCTTATGCTGACCAAAACAGTATTTATATTTGCTGTATGTTTTCCAAACAGAGCATTTTCTCATAAGCAGCTGGAGTTCCGATGGTTGTTACGGATCTGAGACTGCCAAGAAGATTCCCAGAATCAGTTGAGGGGGAAAAAATGGTCCCTTTGCGGTTTGCTGAAAGGAGCTGCTTATGACATCATTCACACTCGCCCATGATCTCTTTGACTCTGTTGCTGTGTTGGGTGCATGCTGTTCCTCTAGTGTGCATATATGTACATATATGTGTCAGGGTTTTTTTCACGCCTGCTATGGCTCGCCACAAAACATTACAACCTTGAGCCCACACCTAGTTTCCTCTTTCTCAGAGTACCTTGGCTCTCACTGACAGAGCGTTGTGTGTTATACTGACATGCTTTTTGTATGCAGGGGCTCTTAACTCAACCTCAGGACCACCTTGAATAACAAATGACCCCAGAGTGGGGCCACAGACTGCACACTGCTTGACTTGTGCTGTTTTTCTAGGCTTGAGCGTCACAGTGAGAGTCTCAGTGGAAGCTGGCAGCTGCCTATGTGTGTCTACTATGTATTTACAATCTCTGCTGTTCTGTTTATTTTACAGACACTACCCCAAGTCAAGCTTCACCTGTGTGACTGACACTCCAGAGAACCTCCGCCTCAAACAGCAGAGCAAGATACAGAGCCAGGTAACCCATTGGGAATATCCATAATATTCACTGCTGAACTAAACTTCAGCTGCACAACATACCGAGTATAACACTGTGCCATGTGTTTGTGCATAACAGGGCAGTAGAAAAGTATGCTTAATTTAAAAATTCAATGATGGTTGAACTTGGTAGTAAGTCTAACACGACCAGCTTTCAGATAACATATTCAGTCTTGCTCCATTTCAGCGTCCGTCTGCATGCTCACAGCTTTAAAACAAAGCCCTGAGAAATCAAGCATGAAATTGACACAAGTAACACATTTGAAGCTGGGAGGCCCATAGTCATGCAAACTAAAACTGAGACAAACTAGAACAGAAACAACTCAGCATTTATAATCAAAAGATGTACAGACTGGAACATATGAAAAGGGGCCTTGCTTAAATGTGTTTTGCAAGAATTTCAGTTTCCCTTTATTGAGATTTGAAAAGAAAAAGTCTTGTTAGACAAGAAGACATTGCAACATTTATGGCTGTAACGCTGAATGTAAGCTCATTTGCTCAAGGACCTCATTATACCCACCATCCAGTGCATGTCAAATAACACGCTACAACAAAGTTCACATCAATTTGCCCACTTATTTTCTAACCGCTGTTTCTGTTGTTCCCTTACTACTTGATTTTTTTTTTTTTTGCTGTCTAGTGTATTGTCCACTTCCGCCACAGCTGGGTGGGTACATGAGCGTATTGTGTCAGCGTTTGACATGCTCCCATGAATGTCCACTAAACAAAAGACTAAGTGCTTATTTTAAATAGTTTAAATTTAGCTGATTCTTTTTTCTTTTTCTTTTTTTGTAAATTAGGCTGGAGGCTGACAGCTATAGTCAACCTCACTTTTTCTAGCAGTGATACCCACTTGGCAGTGTTTAAAGTGGGCAAGATAATTTATTCCACTACCTTTATGTTGAAGCTTTGGTTACTAGTTATTTTGCAAATTATTCATATCAAATGTAAATTACTAAAAAATATGCTAGCTTAGCAGTATACAAAGTGAGTTGGTTCAAAAAGGGCAAACTGTTGCATTGGACGCTGTCCGTGCAGTTGTTTCAAAACATTTAGGTTAAAAGTGTTCAGTGTGTTTGTAGAAGGATGTAAACGGGGAGAAAATAAGGTGTAGTATCTAGGCCATTTTTAATAACCTGCTTGTTTGAGTACTCCCCTTCATCAGTGTTCATATGTTATAGCCTTTTGTTTACCATTTATGATGGTTACAAACTGGATTATCATATCATCATCATATTGATGTGGATACAATTTGCCAACACTCCTGTACTTTTAAAACCACACCAAATTATTAATGCAGTTTGAATACTTCTTGTTGTACAGCAACACTCAGGGGTTCACTGATCTACCCAGTTTCTCTGCTCCTATTTTTCTGCAATTAGTAGCTTATCTTGGTCTAATTTGTAACCACAAAAAAACACTAAGGTTGTTCTTGCAGTTGCTAAAATTGCAAACACCCAAATGAATTATAATATGTTTAAAAAAAAAAAAAAACGAAACCCCACTGACCAAAATATCCTCCTTAACTGGGTCATTCCTTATTGCCTTAATAGAAAAGAGAAAGCTAGAATAGAGAGTCGGGGAGATTTGTGCTCGCTAAAGACGGTTTTCCTCTTGAACTGCTTGCAGTTAAATTTGGATGTCAAATCATAGAGTAAGTTTAAAATATTATTATCTCTGTCTACAAACTTGTTATAGTAGGCATTCCACTGCCTTAAAATTTCTCATTTTCAGTTTCACTTCTCCAAATAATAGTAAGATGTCTGGGCTTTGTATAATAGAATTCCAGGAACTTGTCTACGTCGACTAAAGTAAGCACAGAAAAACACAAAAAACAACACATTAACGCAGACTCACAAAAAGATTAGAACAAATCTTTCAGCACAGTTTTAGTCTCTAATTAGAAAAAACTATGTGAGAGGTATAGCTGTTGAAGCCTCTTTACTTTGGAGAAAGAAAACGACACACAATCCACCAGGAAACCTGAAGGAGAAGCTTGTTTTTGCAGCTTGTTGTAGAAGAGAGAGTGTTGTACAGAGAGGCAGGCAGGGCATATCCATATCTTATCCAAAAGTCTGTGTCAAACACTAGAGATGTGTGTGGATGTGACAGGGGGTTTTGCAGAGTATAGGGGTTTGGATAGCGGTCATATGGGGAGGGGGATGACTGAGGAATCAAGGGACAGATGGTGTTTTTCTACATGGATTGTGCATCCAAACAGCCCCCACAAAGACTCCATAATACTGAGAGAGAGTGTTATGCTAATGGTTTACTGTATCCAATAAGATCCATATAATAAATGCTAGTGCATGGGTGAATTTTAATCATTTTTTTTTTCTATAGCATTTCTTAACAGTTATAACATGCTTCATGATTTGAATGAAACACAAACATCAGAAATGTGCCTTAAATGCAGTAAATACAGAGATGCATTCAAGCATGAATTCTTATTTATGATATAAATCGATGTTTAAAGAAAGGCTACCATATAAAACGAGTTTTCAGCAGGTGTTTTAAAATGAACCACTGAGTCAGCTGAACTGATGAACTGTAGATTTAGGTGCAACAACCTTAGAAGTGCCTTTGGTTGTGAAAAAGGATCAAGGAATAAGGTCTTTGTGGATCTGCTGTATAAGGAGAAGTCTGGCCACTGAGAAGTACATGTGAAAAGTGAGCTACAAAAAACTGTACACACAAGTTTTTGGGTGACGGTAAAGGTTTGATTTTCTCAGTTAAAAGGAAAAGTGTTGCTGGTGATGACGGGTCAGTTTAACCACTGACCTCCACAGTGGAAGTTTCGGAGGGCAGGAATTTCAGTTTTATCGAGGTTGAGATGGACAAAGAGTAGTGTGGGATGTTGTGACTTTTATTTCTCTTCTCATTTGCAGTTTAATGTCACAGTGGACAGGAAAATATGATTTCACAGGGGGAAAAAAAACACATAAGCTTTAAATTTGTCAAAAAGATTATTTATTTATTTATTTATTTATTTTAAATCCCTTTAGCAAAGTTGTCACCTCCGTGCAGACGTTTTTGTGTTTTTTAGCTGAAGGGGTTGATTGTGCTGTCAGTTCAGCAGACACCCTTAAAGAAAAAAACATCCTGTTAATTGCTGAATCTTTTGAGCTAAAGTTGTGTTTTTAAGGGCTCTTTTTAGGTGTTTCTGTGTCATCAAATTAAAGTTGAGGGGAGGTTTGTTTGTGGAGATCGGTAACTGTCTAACCCCTCACCACCACCACGCTGCCGCTACTGCGTTGCTACGAAACCTTATTGCTATGGTAGCAGGGTTTGTCACACCTCATTACTAGACTTTGTGGGGGGAAGACAGAAGGAAACAAGACAGAAAAAGAGGGGAAAAAAACTAGAGAGAAACGAATTGGGAAGGAGGAGAGGAAGAGCTATGAATTGCACATGAGAAGAGACGGGACGGCACCAACCAGAAAGAGGGAGGAGTGTGTGGTGAGAGAGTAAGAGATAAAAGTGAAATTCCCTTAGGAAGGAAGGCTGGTGGAATGCAAATAGAAGCAACGAGAAAGATTATAATGAGGAAAAGCTCCAGCTCTATGGGTTTGACTGACTGTTGCCGTTGAAGCAGTAAAATATGAATGAATGAAAAAGGAGCACAGCAAGAGCAGAGTGTGGGTGGGGAAAGAAAGCAGAGGTATGATTGGAGGAGAAGAAGCTGTTGCATAGATCCCAAAAGACAAAGGAGACAGGCTTGAGAAATAAAAAAAACATAAGGGAGATCACATATTGAACAGAGAAGAGCAAGGAATGAGGGACAAAGATGGGTCGAGGTCACATTAATCTTCTTATCTGTGTGTGCATGCCTCAAAGCTATATACAATTCCTCATTGAACGAGGATCAGCTATAGTTTTGCCTCATTTTCTCAGTGGACGTCACACCGAGGGTGACGGCAGATATGGACCAATTACAGCGCATCACCTACGCACTCGCGCACATTAGCTGTGAATCACAGTAACATTGTGTCATCACAAGGCTCCGGGAGATGAGAGGGAGGATTGGTCACTGTATTGAGCAGTGTCAGGCATTATGTGGATATCTGGGGGAGAGGATGCAAGGGTGAAGCTTTGTTTCCTGGTAATAGACTGTGCAAGCAGGCGTCCTCCGTCTTGGAGGAGTGCAGGAAATCAGTGCAGTCACCATGGAGGCAGGGACAGAGTTTCAGTGTGGGGGGTGGAGTCTAAAATCCTCTGAAAAGATGACAGAGAGAAGCGCTAAAATGTGTTACAGCTTTAGTTCAGAAATAAAATGTGTTTTCCTGTTTCAGGTTTGTTAAGTGGTGTATGTGGTTGTGGCTTTGAGTGATCACCCACGGTGCAGCAGTGAGGGAGAGCTTTGTAATTTCTGATTCTCATCTGACGTTACATGGGCAGGACGTTTCCTCCCCTCTGCCCCTTAGGGTCAGAATAGGGTGGGAAGGCTGGAAAATAACACACACACACACGCTGACACTGTTTGTTGCACAGTACCTCTCATTTTAACCATATATGGTTGCTACCACGTCCTGCATGTAAGGCCTTCACTCACTCAAGCAGGCAGGAAGTTAACGTCACCACAGAAGACAAAGCAATATATGCAGGGCAAACCCCACTCAGTTTGTGCATACAACACAAACAGAGAGCCTGCTTGATGCGTACAAGATTATTGAATTTGCAGAAAATGTAAAATTTGACTAGTAAAGGCCAAAAGCAACTTTGTTGTATTGTCATCAAGCTTATGCTTTATAGTGAGAGATATAAGTAAACAAATACAATTAAATGGTTATAAATCTATAATTAGTAGTTAATGTGATTGATCCAGTTTGTGGATAATTGTGTCCTGTACTTTTTTGGGTGCTTTTCCTGTGCATATCAAACTGAAAAAAAGAAAAAATATGAGACATCTTGTCGATCTCAAGAACATATCACAAAATAATCCACATTCAGATATCCCTCTGGATCCAGGGCCCCGAATCATGTGTGGTGTGGAGGGAATTTTCAGCCTCAGAGGCGGTGTGTAGATTTGGGCTGCTGTTGTAGTAGAATCTGGTACATTTGTTTAAATTTCAGCTAGCCTTCTTATGGAAATACCCAAGGAAGAAGATGCAAAATATAAACGAATGTCAGTTTCCCAGAGACGACTTGTCAACATTATCATGTTAGTCCATCGCATGTTGTTGAGCTGTGGTTGAGCTGTGATCGAGCTGCCAATAAAAGAATTTTCTTCCTTCCTTCCAAAGAATTTTATCAACCCAAAGCTTTAGTTCAGCAAAACTCAGCACTGACATTAGCAAAACCAAGAATTTTATTTCACGATTTTAAATGAATTGTAAATTAATTTCAGAGGTGCAGGAAAATACCAAGTCTCTATTATGAATCCTCAAAATGTTGAATATGATTTGTTGAAAGAATCTAGGTCACTGCATCTATAAATAACCATTTCCACTGCATTTACTGGATTTTCCTTGTTGACTCACTAAACTGAAACTGTTGATGTCAATGTGTAATTCATTTTACATGTAATTTGCCTTGCGTGTTGACCTTGCCTTTATTTCTAACATGATCCTGTTTTGTTGTGCAGGTTCTTTACAGGGAGGATTTTGAGAAGAATAAAGGGAAGGGTTTCAGCGTGGTCGCAGACACACCAGAGATGCAAAGAATTAAGAAAACGCAGGACCAAATCAGCAATGTAAGCGTCACCAAAACAAGTACTCCATTCACTCCACTTGTTTGTTTATTTCTCAACATCTTAATAATAAAGCAGACTGAATATTTGGAGCTCTTTCTGTGTTTCCCCCCACCCTGACAGCCTGGTATGAAGCCAGTCTGCTCTGTGTTGATTAGTTTCCCTGTGTGACTATAATCTCTTTGCCAATATTGAACTGAGGATTTCTTCTGTGGAGAATGATTGGTCTACATGAAGTACTCAGCAAACGGCTCTTCAGTTCTTTAAGATTTACTGATTTCACTGCTTTAAAGGAAAGCGGTGGCATTTTTAATCTTTTGGGTGTACATTTTTAATTGGGACCAAAACGTTTGGAATGGGTCCAGTTATTGAGTGAGGACACTGTGAATGGCTACCACAACATAAGATTTAAGATCAGCCAATACGATTTAAAATAAATAAATAAATTCTGCATTACCTCCTTTTCCACTTGACCGGGAACGTTGTCTAAAGACTAGTGAGAATCTTGAGGATCCACCAGACTCATTTAGTCCACTCCGAAGTTCACTTGACTTAGTCTGAATTGTTTTCCACACTCGGAGTCTACTGAGACAGCTACTGTGGTACTTAACTCGCTAGGTTCTCCATGTTGGTCAGTCATCTACTCTTACCAGTTTCAATTACAACTCCCATAATTATTCATCTTCTCTCTCACTAAAATAAATACCACTTTATATGCATCTATCGATCTAATCTAGTCATCTATGGTTTAAGACAGCGGTCCCCAACCTTTTTTGCGCTACGGACCGGTTTATGCCCGACAATTTTTTCACGGACCAGCCTTTAAAGTGTCGCGGATAAATACAACAAAATAAAACTAGTACCGGTACCAAAAAAAAGAAGTTTTATTCATAACACACGTGAAAAGACCAGGGAAACCGAGTTAACGATAAAAACGATAACAAAATAATGCTGAAAACCGATAAAAACCCTGAAAACCATACATTTCACACCTGACCCTCAACTCTCGCGGCCCGGTACCAAACGACTCATGGACCGGTACCGGTCCGAGGCCCGGGGGTTGGGGACCACTGGTTTAAGATATGGCAGCCTGCTTATCAAAATGTCTCTTACTAATGGATAAGCATTGCTAGGCAACTGAGCATGCCATGATTGTTGAGTGCAGCATGGGAAATTAGAAAATTGTACAAGGAAAGCAAAACAAATAATTTGTTAAAAATGTAGCAATTTATATTGAGGAAGGAGCAACAGCACCAATCATGATAGCAGGCATCTGCAAAACAACTGTAAATCCCAGGGGACAGCTGTCTGTGCCACGCCAGGCTGTAATCACAACAACACATTTTCATTTTATTAGTATTTTTACGATCTCTGTTCAGATGAGATCAGATGTTTTGATACTGTTTTAGAAATAATCTCAGCGCGTAATAACTTGCCCTTAAACACGTATTACATGACCTTTAGCGAGTGCTGGAGATGAAGCAGAGTAGAGAAAGTAAGCGGCAGAAAATGTGAAAAATTAAAGCCAAGGTTTATTTTTCTGTTTTAAACAAAAAAAAAAAAAACATTTCCTTTAAAGCCTAGTCGTTATGCTTCAAATGAAAGCTTTGGAAGCCACCAGAATAACGTGGCGCATTTTTGTCATCATTTTCTGTTACATTACCTAATTGGTTTCGCCTCCTCCAGCTCAAGCCTCAGAGAATTTCCCCAGATTAAGATCTCAAGTTCTACAATTGTTTTGTATACTGTTGCTTTTAAGAATCTTTTTGTCCTCTTATTTGCTCTTATTGATCCTTATACACGGTGAAGGAGTTCTCTCCCATTCACTTCCCTCTCCCTCTGCCCCTGTTATTGGTTGATTTGCCATTTCTCTGTAAATACACGACTGGAATGAAATGTTTATATTGTTCACCTTGTGTCCCCCAATCTGCTTAAGTCAGCTGCAAAGACCTGTCTTTCTATGTAAAACAAACTGACAAAACAAAGACACCTCTTCATACATACCGAGCTCTGCACCAGCCTCGCTAATGGCATAATTGGTGTGGAGGGTGATGGATAATTACAGTTTTCATGTGATGAAGATCTTGCATGTTGGAGATTAAGGAAGTCTGCAAAGTAGGAAAACAAACACATATATTATATGCGTTTATGGGCACGCACACAAGCCGCAATTTCACTGTTTAAGGATAGATTTAAGCACATCGTGAAGTGGCTTTAGTTGAAGCTGATAAACAAGACATCTGCTTGCAATCAATTTGTCATTCACAGCCAATCATAAAGGAGCCACTGCAGATGAACATTAGTATCTTTTATTTCTCTTCTCTGGACGCTGAGAAACAAAGTGCAATAAACCCTCTTCTAGTCTCATCTCTCTGTTTTGCCCTTCTCTTTGCCACATCTCTCGGTCCATCCTTCTCCACTTCCTGCCACCAGCAAAGATCGAGAGGAATCAGGGGGGATGGTCGGGGGTAGTTCAGCAGCAGCTAGGGCAAGTCCTGTAAATCCACACACAAACACACCATCTGTTCAACCTGCTTCTTCAAAACAAACTAAAATAATCTCTCTCACACACTCTCACTTAGCATATTGCACTTGAGAATAGCCACTGTGTTCTCCCAGTCACTCGCTTCACTGTCCTTACACAAACACGCCGTCGTCCCATCCAGTCGGTGAATACACTCCTCACTGACGCCAGCAGCACAGTGGGCTCTTTGAGCCGGGGCATAAGCGGGAACAGAATACAGGGTTGTAAATCTTGACCGAAGAACTGTTGAGTAAGTCTGTTATCAGTCTGGTAATAAGGAGACGGGTTATATAGAGCAGTCACTCAGTTTCTGTTTCATCAGTGCTGCCTGTTTGGTTTTGAAACACTGAACACAGCCTTTGTCACACTGGCTGGAGAAATGGTCATAAAGTCTGCCTAAACATCTAATTGCGCTGCTTTTTTGTTTTTGTTCAGTTATAACTCAGCGTATGGCTTACAGAATGAAAAAAAAATCTATTTTTTCTCTATTCACTTACACTTGAGACTGTAGTACTTTAATTTAAACGTGATTCCATTTCATATGCTTAGTCATACAACCCCACCCTTCTCCTTTTCCTCTCAGTAGTTCCTTTTGAGTCTTGCTCTGTCATTCCAAGCGAGTAAGACTCGGGGATTTGAGTGACTATTTCTCTGTAATCCTCCTCTGCTCTTTTTTTTTTTTTATGGTGTGTGTGTATGTTTCACCTGTCTGATGTGTCAACAAGCCGTTGCTATACACCTACGTCCTTACACTGCTTCCGGTACCTGAGATGTCATTTCCTGTCAACATCAAGCTGCTTCCCTGAGCATTTGCTGCAAATAGTGCGCCCCACCTATCTCCACAGACACTGAGAAGCTAGAGAGCAAGTGGGAGACCCCTGGTGGATAGAAAAGGAACTGTACATAGCTACAAGTTCTTTTTGAATCTAGAAAAGACTTGAAAGGATTTGAATCTCCTAAGAGAAGGTGCGTTATTCCTCATCTTCATGAATGACCTGTTTGTGTTTGTGCATTGCAGATTAAGTACCATGAGGAATTTGAGAAGAAGAAGATCGGAGGAGAGGGTCCACAACATCTGCCAAGCCACCCCAGTGCAGGTATGACCAGCAATTACTAGTAAATGTAGCAGAGAAGTAGAAGGCAGAAGTGAAGAAAGCACCGTCTGAATCCACAAAAATATCTGTAGCTGGATTCTGAGCTGAAAAGTGTACATACTAGAGAACAAAAAGCATTACATTTTTCTTTAGCTTTCTTGGCTTGTCTGCGCTTGGTTCCTCCCTCCCAGAGGCTATAGGAGCTCAAGTTGTTCACTGCACTCCTCTGCTTTTTAATCTTCTTAGCCATAAATGACTACATTAATGCAAGCATAATTCTGTTTCACAATCACAGCTGAAATCCTAATTGTACATAATCTGTTTTTATTCATTACTCAAGTCAAACAATTGTTTGCTGAAGCTCAGGCACAGAAACGTTGCAGTAATAATTGCAAACAACAACAGGAGCAGTTATGTCAGAACAGTGCTTTCAGCATTAGGAAGTAAGTGAAGAGGAATGACTAGTCAGCCTGCTATTTGTATTTCGTGTGCCAGTTCGACACCTTTACACAGAAGGTCATTGTTTAGAGGGTTGTGAATCAAGAGCATGCGTGCCTTGGCTTGCCATGTAGGGTTTTTTTTTTTTTAGCATTTACTGTGAAAGAGCTTTTGCACAAACAAACAATAAATACACAGCTTGTATGCATAGAAAATACATGGAAATGAATGCCTAATTATAGACTGTACTGAGTCAATTTTTACAGACTTCTGAATTTGGCCTTTGTGGAGCTTTTTTACATTTTCTCAGTGTTCAGTAGTCAGATTTTTCTCAGTGCTTTATTTTTTTTAAATTTATTTATTTTTTTTAAACCTGCGTCTCAATATTCCTACACGTATTTATTAGTTATTATAGTCATTTATCTAATTATTTATGGGTCGTGTACCTGAATTGTGTAGTTCAGTCAGGTCATTTCTGACCCCATTATTTTATACAGGAAAACATTTTAATAGGTATTGTGTTTATATTAACTATACTGTTACCTGTTAAGCGAGATTTTTTTAATTTAATTACAGTTCTGTCATTTTTATGCAAATATGGTATTGTAGAAACAAAATGACTTTTATTTACACAATTTATTTATTGTCTCTCGCTTCTTAAAAGACAGTTTCTCTTCATTTTAGAACTGCTAGAGAAGAAATGCATTTTAAACGGTAACACGTGTTTGAGTGGCACCAAAACAAAGATGAACTGGTGACTCTTTAATAACGTTAGCAACAACAAATTGACTAAAGTATTAAGAGTGTTTTGTTTTTATTTTTCGCATCCTTTATTACTTTGTTTGTAGTTAAAACAAAATGTATGCAAACATCTTGAGCTTGTATAATAATTAAAATATTTTGTGTATTAAGTGATCCCACCCTCCTTAATCCTTGCCACAGCAATGGGCAAGTACTCTTAAAACTTTGCAAGGTAGCAGAATTTGATGCTACTTTTTATGATTTAAAAAAATCACAGAGACGCATACAGCCATAAATAACCTTTTGTGTAGGTTAAAGCACCAATTATAAGTAGTACTGCTTATGATTCTAACTCCGTCATTATCCCTGTACTCCTTCACCAGGTGGTTACCAGCAGCCTGCAGCCACTCAAAACTACCACTATGATCCTGCTCCTGAACCAGTGCGCCAGGCAGCCGCTGCCCCGCCTCCCAGTGCTGGGGTACGTCCTTCACTCTTCTAATTAAATTCACCGATTCCAAAACCTAACAAGAATCAGAAGATTTGTTGTAATTTAATAACACAAAAGCAAAACACATTCTTTCCAAGACGATTAAGCTCATTGTCAGCAGACTGTAGCCGCAGCTACTCGTTTATAAACTAACCAAGCTCGTTCTTTTTTGCTGACAGAAGCGATACAGGGCAGTATATGACTACTCTGCCGCCGATGAGGATGAAGTTTCCTTTATGGACGGAGATGTGATCGTAGACGTGCAGCAGATTGATGAAGGCTGGATGTATGGCCGCGTGGAGCGTACCGGCCAGCAGGGCATGCTGCCTGCCAACTACGTGGAGGCCATCTGAGCTAGAGGAGAAGGAAAAAGAGGGAGAGAAAAAGGAGGAGATAGAGAAAGGGAGGGAAAGTAGGAAAGGAAAAGCCCAGTGCCATCTCATCTTAGCGCCGCTTTCTCTTATTTTTACTCTTGTTCCCTAACCTGCCCTGAGAGACCCTGAACCCCTTCCCCTTCTACATCCCTGCTCTGCTCTCACTGTTCGCCAGCCACAGACACACACCCTCTATCTAGCTGTCTGTCCTTCTGTCTGTCTATCTGCCTGCCTGCTTCTCTATTCGTCCGTCTGTGCTAATGTCTCTCTCTTTGGATGTTCGTCATCCTCTTTGTCTTTGTCCCCATCCTGACTCCACTCTCATGCAGCTGCAAGTGGGAATGGAAAGTCCTCAAAGATGAATTCACAGTTCATTGCAGTATGTCAGGGGTCCGTGCCGTGTCACACAGCTCCATCCTAGCTACGCCACTTAGCAATCCTACCACTAAAACATGCAAAAATACAGAAGAAAATGTTTGTTTTTTGAAGAAAAAAAAGATATCCCTGAAGTGAGTAAACCTGCAGACGCAATTCAGTGAAGAAACTAGCTCAAAGTGTGTTTGAGTGGCGTTTTAATGGGCCCATTTATTTGTCTTTTTCTTTCTTTAATTTTGCAGCGTGATCTTGGCCAGACTGGAAAAACAGTGTATAGAATCTCAGTCTGCCTTAGCGGTTTTTTTTCACTTGAGTACATTCCTTTAACCTCCAACGCTGTTGCTGTTGCATCAGTCAGCCAGTTTTCAGTCTTAACAGAGAGGTTTTTTAAATATATTTATAGATGGACGCACATCTCGCCAGTCTGCTCAAGTAGGCACCCTCATGTTCAGCACTGTGCTGTTGTCAAACTGGAATAATAACCTAACTGTAGAGCACCTCCTGTTGAGCCTTACACAGGCTTCCTGGATACAGGAGGGATCAGGGACACGTTAGGGGACTTCATCAGTCTTTCTCTTGCAGTTACACTGAACACACGTCTGCATGTACAGTATACACGTTTATTCCTGATTTTGCAGCCTAAATGCCTTCAGTCCTGTGAGAATCACAAAGATATGGTGATCAAGATTAAGCTGTTTTTGGGGGGGAAATGGCTCTTCCCCTTTGCTAAGAAAAAAAAATATCACCATCACAGAAATCCTTTATAAAAGACGAGGCCAAGCACAACTCGATATTGTGAATCGTTTTATTTGAAATTCATTCCACTGTTTTTGAAAGAGTACATTCCAGTCTTTTTTCTTTTTCTCATTTAATGTGAGAATTTTTTTTTTATGGCTGTGGTAGATGTTGTCATTTTTCTCGCTCTTTTCTTCCTGAACTGTCCTTGTTGTTATTAGATGTTTGTTTTGAGAAAAAAAACAGATCTGTGTATTTAATAAATAAACCAGCAACTCAGTTTGCAAGACAGAAAAGGAGTATTTATGGAGACTCTTGTAGTCACTGTATTAGATCAGTCATGGGATAATTACTTGGAGTTTCAGGACGGCGCTAACTGCTTGTTGTTAAAGCCCGTTTCATTGTTCTGCAGCTTCAAAGAAGGGAGAATTTAGAAAAAAATCATTTAAAATACACCTGAAAGTTAGATTTTATTGTATGCTGTGTTCATTTTAAAGGCAGGTGCTACTTGAGCCAGGGCGGCACATGTGGCAGGCCAGTCCCGACAACAAGCCAGCCACCGCTCGCTGGCAGCTAAATGTTGAAACTGCTGGTTCTTGAGCGTAAAATGAAGCGTTTACGTTGCTGGCTCTTCCACAGAAAGGCTGCGACACAGGATTTTCTGTTAAAACCATAACACGTGTAATTGTCATTATTGTTGCCATTCCTCTGTGGTGTAAATAATGTCACAGGCCCCTGACCTTATGCACCTTTCCCCTTTTCTTGCAGTTTCATTCTCCTGTGATGCACTGTGACTGTCACAGACATGAGCGATCAGGGTGGGGTCATCCTTACGGTGGAGCTGGGGAGCGGGGAGGGAGGGGATTTCGGCTTCATTAAGTGAAACAAGGCTCTCACTATGTAGCTAGATGACATTGTACAATTGTATATGTATCATAAATGTAAGTTAGGGGGAATTGTTTTTACAGGTCACGGTGCTCTGGGAAGTGGCTTGCCTGCAGATAAAAGCGTTTCAATATTTTTGTGAATGTGGAGAAGTTCTGTGATTTTTAAAAGCTGACTCACGGTCGGTGCACGTTGTCAGTTGGTGTTGGAACAATCAAACTCCCTAATGTCATGAATTGTGACAGTGCTGATGAAAAAAAAAAGTCACTGAATTAGAAAAAAGACTCTTCTAATAAATGAGAACGAAGGAACACACTGTACAGCATCTCTCCTGCATTTTGCATTAATTCTCTATTCGACAACAGGATATTTGCAAAACAGACGCTAGATCGGAAAGCTGGTTTAGAGCTCACGGTTGTGTGTATCTCTGGGGTAAATTGAGGAATTTTGCGGTTTGGCTTTGAGTGAAATGATTGTTGTTCCTGGCTGATGGTGCATTTGCTCAAATTTAATTATTAACAAAACTACTCACTCTGGTAGATTCCGGATTGCGTCCAGTCCAAACTTATCTCAAGTGTGTTGATTGTTGTTAGGCGGTGATGTGAAGGAAATGAGGGAGGGAGGGAGGGAATGGCCAAAGACAGCCAGTGTTTAAGTGTGGCTCAGGATGGATTTGTTAAGGCACTGTCAAATCTAAGTGTGCGAAGATGTAAGCGTGCGAGGCTGGGGGGAGAGGGGGCGACTGAGGGTGGCGATCCTCTCGATTTCCCAGTCTGTGAGAGGCGGCAAGTTGTTTGTCTGACCTGGATTTTAGTCAGGAGTTAACCTCTTTGCGCCAAATACCGCTCCTCTGCTCTGGCATCACTACTGAACCCTAACTTCATATCATAACCCTGCTTCCATTCAGTTTCTGTCTTCTTATGCTGTCCAACCTCCTGCTGCAGTCCCTCTTTCCTCCGGCCTTCATCGTAGGCTCCTGCTCTTCTGATGAATCATTCCCCGCTTCTATGATACTGGTTATATACTGTAGACTTTGCAGAGTGAAATCATATAATCCACAATTGCAGGTTTAGCATTCAGACCAGTTTTTGTGCATTCCATCTTAAATTGTTTTTGATATAATTTTGTTATTTTTTTAAAGAAAAAAAAAATATACCATATGCATATTGACATACACATGTATTCAACACTCTGAATACATCCTCAGATTAAGGACCTGATATCATCTCCTGTTGCCCTGATACAGCACTTCAAATTGTACTTATGATTCTGCAGATTCAATAAAATGTCATTTTTTTTCTCAAGACTGCTCTGTCTGTACAGTCTCTTCATTTGGACACATGAATAGCAACGCAAACGTAAAAATCTACATAGGTGTGCAAGGCCCTTTTTCAGCAAATGTCACATTATGTCGCTTCTACGAATTTACGATGCAAAAAAGGACAATTTCTAAATAGGAAAACTTTTTCATGTTATGTTGTCATACCTAAAAACCATTGTGCTGATTAATGAAGTAATATGTTTAGCTGAGTCTTTTGGGGGTTTGGTTCCAAGTCTCAAAATGGTTCAATAAAGGACCTTCATTAGCGTGCTTGTGCTAATAAATTCAAGCTATTCCACGTGGGACAAGAAGAAACAGTATTTCATACAACAATTTTCACCACTCCCCTGGCAGAAGAGGGAAAACCGGCTCTAGCCAGAATTCAAAAGAAGTGGGAAACACTGGTGCATAACTGATAACACAGGCTCCTCAGAGTCTCTAATTTAAGACCTTGAGAATCTGGCAGGTCCTGAACTGCTAGCTTTATTGAATATGAACTGCAAAGCACCCTTCTCAGCATTGAAGAAGTGAATCAGGAATGTTTCCATATCTAAAACCAAACTGGGTTTGCACTAAATCAGTGGAGATGCCCTAACCAGGAAGAAATGGATTAATATTGTCCCTCATTTGGCAGGTCTGTCAGAGAAACTCAGAACCGTAACAGCCTAGTGTCCTTCAGACCTACCAACACAAGTGTACATTGTGCAATGCGTTGAACGTTTGGACTTTTACACGGGCCAGACCAAAGAACCACACGTGACATGTCACACAACGCAGTTATACATCTTCAGCTAAAGCAGAGAGGACACGGGAATAAAGGAAGCTATTTATATCCACACTGAATGACCGCTGTTAGACTGCTGGTGTCCTAGAGCACCAGTCATCAGTCACCTATAACACAGTCTGGAGATCCCTTCCAGGTGATTCAATCCCCACTCACACCATAACCCATGTGACCTTAATCATTTCCAACATGACATGGTAGGACAGTGTCTCCAAAGGGATTCACACCTTGGCCTCTGTGACAGTAATGACCTACCCCGATTCACACCTGGGCTCATGTAACGCACAATGACAAAGATGGTGACTCTCAGGATCTCTTGAATTGAGACAATCCCACAAGGGGTAAAATACCCAAGACTCTCCATTAGTTTCTAGAACTAAAGAAGCCACTTGGATGAGAAGTAAAATGTCTTCACAAGCAGAAAAAAAGTCAATTTGCCTTCATTTCAAGTGCTTAAAAAAACAAAAGACCTCAAAAAGGAAAATTCTGAACCTATTTGTGAGAGGTGAGACAACTGAAAAGATGCTGGGGGGAGTTTTATTACCTCTTTCAAGCATAATGGAAGGAAAATGTGGTGGTAAATGGGAGATTTGTGCAGATAAAAGGGATCTTCAATGAGGACGGTTACTGCTCCATTAGGCAACAAGATTTGAACATAGTTTGAAGCCAGTTTACTTATAAAGCAAGAAAAGGTCAAAACGATGTAGTTATCAGGGAGAAATACTGGTTCAGTTGTGGTATGTGGAACATCCTGATTCGCTATTGTTGTTGATCTTGTGAGAAATAAGAAGAACCCATCAAGCTGATTCAACTTGTGGAAGGTTCTCTACTTCTGTCACACCAGCCCTTTGGATGTCCTCCTTCACTACAACCATCAATCTTCTCTGTGGTCTTCCTCATTTCCTCCTGCCTGACAGCTCCATATTCAACATCCTTTGAGCAGTATATCCACTATCTCTCCTCTGCACATGTCCAAAACATCTCAGCTTTTCCTCTTTGTCTCCAAACCGCCCACCCTGAGCTGTCCCTCCGATGTACTAATTTCAGCCTTGGCCATCCCAATGAAAATCTTAACGTCTTCAACTCTGCCATCTTCAGCTCAGCTTCCTGTCTTTTTATCAAAGCCTTTATCTCCAAAACCATACATCATAGCAGGTCACCAACATCGCCTGCTAGTCCTCTGTCACAAATCACCCCTGAAACTCGTCTCCACCCCCTGGCTACGCTCTCTGCTTCACCTCTCTTGCGACTGTCCATTACTTTGGATGGTTGACCCCAGTTATTTACACTCATAGACTCTTTCTACTCTTTGTATGTTCTCTCTTGCTTCTCCTGACTTAAGACTTTATTATTGACTTATTATTGATTAAAGCTACAAACTGTCCTTTTGGTCAAAAAGTAAAGATTTTGGGGGAAGTGATCCATGGAGGCCAAACACGCCTTTCTTAAAACAAACGTGCCTGAAAGCCAAAACTCCGGGTTAGAAAATCACCTGTGCTTTCTTTCCCCCCTTGCACATTCGCGTTCTGTGTAGGGCGGGGCGTGTGGAGCTCTCCGAGTTCCTCCGATCTTTGCCGATCTTCTACCCCGGTGGTAAGGTCGCCGTTTGTGCTGCGTGTTCTCCTCACATCCGCACAGTCTGTCTCCGACCGAGCTCCCATCATGGTGGACATCTTGGTGTTGATGTTTTTCGCCGTTATGGGCCTCGTCTTCCTCTCCTACATCATCTACATGCTGTGATGAAGATGCGTCCTGGTCAGGCGGTGCTGGAGCCTAACGGAGGATGTTTGTTTTTCCTCTCCTGCATCCCCGGTTTACACCACAAACAGAGGTGAGTGTTGTATTTGCAGGCGTTATTAAGCGAAATCCTTCTGTGGTGGAAAATGAGTGCATATACCCGAGAAAGGCCGGTGTTCCTGTTGATGTATCGATTTTGGGATGAGTGGTTTCTTTCATCGCCGTCAGTGTTACTAAGTTGCCAGCGACAGACCTGTTAATGCTTCCCATGTTTCAGGGAGTAGAGCCACGGCCAGGCCATGATGGTTCCCTTTGGAGCTTTCATGTGGGGATGAGAGGAGCGATCCAGGCAAGAGAGGAAAAACAAATGGAGAAGAAGTGGAAGCCAAACTGTTTTGCACTCTGCAATCATTCCCCTCCTTCCTTCTTTGGAACAGTCAGATCTGACCAGGATGCCCAAACAGAAATTTTAACCCTCATCATCATTTTCTGTGATACTTCTGTGTCAGTATTACTGTTTAGAGGAGTAGCGATGTTACCTGCACATAAGGATCCAGGATGGCATTCATAAAGGTGTAGAATTTGCCTTTTTTTTTTTTTTTACGATTATTTATTTATTTATTTTTTAAGGATGGATTTGATTTGAAGTGTCCAGTTTGACAGTATTATCCAGATGTTTTATCAGCTCTTTTTGCACAGGTTTGTGTTTCAGCAATCAGTTGGAGAGCCTCAGACTTGTGATGTCACTATACTTTCCTTCTCACTGTAATCATCATTGTCCACTAAATTAAGAGGAATGGAAGGTATTTGTTAAACTATATCAGTTGCTTTAATGTTCTGAAGCTTTGCAACTACATTGCTCTTTTTCTGTTTTTGTCCTTATATTTTGGCCACAGATGACATCCACAAAGAGGCGTTGTTTGTGTATATCTGAGTTTCATATTATCTGTTATATTTAAATAATGTTCACTGATGCACACACAATTTTCTGATAATCGTGAAATGTCAAATAAAGATGATTCCAGTAAACCCAGCTGCCTTCTCTTTCGCTTTTTGGAAAGCAAAGTTGAATTCAACCTTTTTGGGCACTAACAACTGTCACGGTCAGTTTTCAAGAAGATGACAAACATTTCATGGTTCAAGCTTCTCAAATAGATGGAGGCTTTCCTGCTTATTCTTAGGTGTATTAAGTTTAATACATTTGCTCTTGGAGTGACAGACCAAATCACTATTTGTTGTTGTCCGCAGATACTTTTATTGAAATTTATATTGCTTGAGTGGTTAATAAGCAAAAGCAGGGCTGAGGTTGCACCAGACCACTAAAAGTGGATTGTGTTGCCATATTGATGTAACCACAGATGGAAATTACAGGAAAGAATAATCCTGGGGGGGAAAAATAAGAAGAACTGTTGTCCTCCGCAATTCAATATTAAAAAGGTCTCCAAACAAGAGTCGAATGTAAAGGCAGAGGCTTTAAAACATGCTGTAAACGACTGGTCCAGAACAATAGGGTCAGGTTAAACTTTAGCAGAAAACCTCTAAATGAGCCCACAGAGGTCTGAAAAAGAATTCATTGATCCAAGCAGATTGAAGAGCAGAGTGTGGCTCATGACCATAGCATTGTACGCTTTTTGGTCACTCGAGACACGACTGAATATAGAGAGAAGATATTTCATGTACTATGAACAAAACTCTCTATAATTTTTAATTAATACAAAACTTCGATCAAACTCATTGAATTAAACCTGAAAGTCTGCTCTTCAAGTACATGTTGATAGATTTAAAATCCACCGTGGGAGGTATCCAAGGGCAAAATTACAAAAAAAATAAAATAGACCTAATTATGCTTTTATTATGAAATTTTTTAGGCAATATACTTCACAATTTTGTATTTTTTTTAGTTTGGTATGTTTATTTCTCTAAATTAAAGGCATATTGCACACACAAAAATTCCACTGTGAAGTAATGTCATGCTGTACACTTTCACATATCTGCACATCACATCCACATCTCAGCTACTGAGAAAACATTTGAGCAGGATATATATTTTTAACCCTTGAGCATGTTGGAAAAATATTCATTCTTCTCTAAAAAGAATGGGTATGACCTGAATGATGACTAACAGTACCATATTCCA